GCGTTTGTCACTCACTTAAACTGTCAAACACCAAGCGGTCACCGGTGACCGCAACCTATTGTTCTATAATTGTGTCTACAAAACCGGTACTCGACGAGTTAATACGCCATTAGAAAACCAGTCCAATTCAATACTATTTTCGACCTATCAAAAACTATGATATACGAGATTGAATTGTGACATCACATTTTTTTAACGTCAATTACTTCTTAAAATTCTGGATTTTTTCTTGGTATATAGCAATAGGCTCACCCCCTGTTATATGGAATTCATAACATAAATAGTGAACAGTGGGTGTTACATTGTACAGTGGCATTAAGTGCCGTAATATGCTGCACCTCTACCTACCCCTTCTGTTATATTAAAAAATGGCATATTAGTCTAAAATGCCTAATTCATTTAACTTTGTATAGATAACTGACCTTATGCGCCGACATATCCTTAACAGCATTGCATTTGTAGTTACACAGCTTGCAAGAGTACAGATACAGCTTGAAGTTAGGGGACGCGAGCAGCTCGTGCGGCGGGGGGAGGTCACTCTTACGTTTGCGACCACGACCTCGGCCGCGGGAGGACGCTAGGAGCGCTCTGGAAGAGACAAATAGGTACATTATTAAAATAAATGGTGTCAAGCAGGCGAATCGTCTGAAAGTAGTAAAGATGCCAGTACAATACTAGCGCATCCCTTGCACATGCTAAGAACTAGAGATACAACGAACAGTTGTTTGGCCGGATACCGGATACCGGATATTCGCCCTGACCACCAGCCGAATATTCGGTATCCGGCCACCGAATATTCGGCCGGCAGTGTGCTACCTACATTTTGGGTTTCATAGGTGAGTGTCGCGTACCGCCACGCCGCTCGCCGTGCAGGTATTGACTTACTTACATACATACATACATAACTTCACGCCTGTCTCCCATGGGGGTAGGCAGAGACTAAGGAACGCCAATTACTACGATTCTTACATACCTCTTTCTCTTACATGCTCGTCGGTTAAGGGAACTTTTAATTTGGCCCTTCTTTAATATATCGCCAATCTGGTCACTATTGACTTGTTATAATAAAAACTAATAAAAAGTTAAAATTACTTAAAATAATAAAAAAAGGTTCAATTATAACTGTGTCTTTGTTTACATTTCTTTTATAAAATCTACCAAGTTTACTATATGGGTGTGTAAATGTGTAAATAAAATAACGGCCGGATAAGCAGGATACCGGATAGTAACCGAATATTCGGTGCATCTCTACTGAGAAATGGTCCCATTTATCATGTCCATGTCGTCAAATGTCATCGACAAATATTTTTTTTACCATAAACTTAATTTTATTTTTAATACCTACAGTCTTAATCTTTATTATTTATTTATTTTGTATGTCTTTACCATTCACGGGACCACAGGGTCCCGGTCATTTGGGAGGCGTGCGAGGGGCCGAAGCCAACACCGCAGAGGCCCTTTAGACAACTTTAATCTAAATGTTATTTTGTATTATTATTATAATGCTGAAAATCATCGCCGCGACTCGAGTTATCGCTGAGCTTTAACTGAGCACTTGGCATTTTTGCGCCGTGCGCACTTTTATCATTTTATTGTTGTAACTAAAAAAAATGTTTTTTAATTTGTTACGGTGCGAATAAAATAAATAAATAAAAATGATTTTTAAAAAAAACGTCCCATTCCACCGCAGACTTGAGACATTAGTATTTATGATGAGTATATCTGTATATGTCACCTGTTTTGGTAGGAACAATATTACTTACTTAGCTTTTTGTAGGGACTTCGCCTTTTCCAATATCTCTGTCGGTGACAATGGTTTCTGTAACAAATGAACACATACATTAATAGGGTATATGACTAATTTTTATTTTAATGTCCGTCTGGTAGATTATTTTAAATCATTACACACGTATTTTTTATTTTTTTACAGAAACGAATTCTTTCGACGATATATTGATTTGAAATGTCTCGTGACGTCACTTCTATGTACATTTTATACGTAGAAATGACGTTTTAGCGTTTCCCACTCCTAAACTTTCTCAGACGCCAGACGACAGACTATCTGTGACGCACTTTTTAATCTGTGAAAAATTGAAAATAGAACCACGCAGCGCCGCTCGGCACAAAAAGTGTGTGAAAAACGTTGAATGTTCGCTTCAACGCGCTAACACAGACGGCGCCACTTTAGTCGGCAATCTGCATTTGCTAGAGGTGGACGTAAACTACCTCATTGTTGTTTCTTAATGAGTCAAAGCAGGGCCTTTAGTCAAACGCCACTTTACCGCTTGTCTACAGAGAGAGTAGAAATAAAAATGTATGGGGATGACACTGACAGGTGTCAAAATTTACGTCAATTCCATATAATTTGGTTTTTTAGTCTACATGTAGACAAGCGCTAAATGGCATTGGCTACAGCTGCAGGTCTTAAAATAAATAGCAACTCTTCAAATGTAGTAATAGACATTTCTTAAAATGTGTTTCAGAATTGAATGTTTAGTATGGAATTGTCCGTTCAGTAATCTTGTACCCAAAATTATCTATTTCTTCTTCATTTTCTGTACTTCATGTACAAAATAATACTTCGGGATCTCTGAACGATTCTATATCGAGGGGTAACGGACTATTTGGTTTAACTCGTCGAGTACCGTCATTATAGACACAATTATAGAACAATAGGTTGCGGTCAACGGTGACCGCTTGGTGTTTGACAGTTTAAGCGACATTTTGGTCGATATTGAGTTATTATATTATATATTCGGAATTACCGAATTTTTCTCCGTCGAATATACCTATAAAATAACTCAATATCGCCCAAAATGTCGCTTAAACCAAATAGTCCATTACCCCCCGATATCGTTTACGTCCCTACAGGTCTGCCGGTACAGTCAAAATTTGGAACAGGGGCAGATCATGGTCCGAAATAACACATAACTACTTTTATACCAGAGGACGCAGGTGAACCCGGCTACTGACACGGTACATACCTTATCTTCAATTTTCTTCTGTATGGCAGTAGTCTGTTGTAATGCAGACTTGAGTATGACTAGGGAGTTCTGCCCATCCTCGTTTTCCACCATCACATAGGAGTCTTGGTTGTCGGGATCTGCAAATGTACATTTGAAATTAATAACATTTAGGTAGTACAAATAGTTTATCATCATCAGCATCATCAGACCGTGTTCGTCCACTGCTAGAAACTAAGACCGCACAAAAACTAAATAAACATACGATACATATACCAAAACTAGCTACTTCCGCGCGGTTTCACACGCTCTGCTCAGCTCCTATAAGTCGTAGCGTGATGTTTTATAGCCTATAGCCATCCTCGATAAATGCACTATCCAACACAAAAAGAATTATTCAAATCAGACTTGTAGTTACGGAGATTAGCGCGTTCAAACAAACAAACAAACAAAAAAACAAACTCTTCCGCTTTATACCAGGTGTTGTTTTAAAGCTGTGTCATTTTCTAGGAGGTAACTCGGCTATCGATTCTGAGTCCAAATCAATAAAAAAAATTTAGGTAAATATTTTTCATTTTTCTGTAAATTACGGAAATCTGTAAGTGCGAACTACACGCCGCCGTCTTGTAACTAGTTTTATAACGCGGCTTAACATACACAAACTCAAAGTCAAAGTCAAAGCATTTATTTCAATTAAACCTTACTTTTGAAACGCCAACGATAACAAAATAAATAATAGTCTGTCAGTCAGTCCGTCAGTGAAATTAGGTGAAGCTAGGTGCTCATTCCAAAATGTAGATTCGAATGGAGAAGAACGAGCAAGAAACTCCATTCGTTACTCTTTTTGAAATGTATGTTCTACTCAAACACGTAATTGATTATTCCTAATTCCATAAAACTCCAATAAGAAACATCGCTGTCGGTTATTTTGAAATATTGTCGAACTTAAACGATTTATTATAGCCGTATTTTTAACTATTGGACCGAAACTTTCTCTTACATTGAACCTTTATGACTTCTGTGACATGCCCCCGAGAAATGCCACGGTTTCAAAACTACACCTTGTATAATAGTATAAGAGTATGAGATAACACTTTGTACAATTTTTGTCTGACTGTCTGTTTGTACTCTCGCTAATCTCTGACCTGGACCTAGTTAATCTTCTAAGGAGTAACATAGGTTACTTTTATTTTAGAAAAACGCAGTCGAAGTTGCGGTTTCACCTAGTGTTCAATAAAATAAAAACAGACCAAATATAAAATTACCTTCAGTATCGCTAGTCTGCAGCACGCATGTGACGGTGGCGTCCGACGACATCTCCCCGTCAGAGGGCGCCGCGTTCGCAACCAACTGGTAGCCTTCCTCGCCATCTTGGCATCTGCAACGAAAAATATTAACATTTTTCTTTTTATTGCATTAAGACTGCACGGTTGGGGCGATGGCTGGGCAACCGGCTGCCGTGTAACGTGTCGCGGGTTCGGTTCCCGCACGGAACAACACTTTGTGTGGTCCACAAAGTGTTATTCCAAGTCTGGGAGTCATATGTATGTGAACTTGTATGTTTGTAAACGTACACACGACACAGGAGAAAATCCTAGTGTGGGGCAACGTTTTTTTAAAGAAAAAAAATATTTAATACAAAATATCAACAATATCGTTTTTTTATTTTTATTTTATTTATCAAGGACAACAAACAGCATTATATTAAATATAACACGGGTGAGTAAAATAATAGATTTAACAAATACACTCCTCACGACGTTGCCACGGATTACCATAAATCTACTTAGTAAATACAATGGGCCAAACTTGAACCTACAAACTAAAGCTATAAAATTAATATCAACCTGTGCACTGGAGCTGAACTCGACACAGTTGGACTATAAGCCTCCTCTACATAAGAGATTCTGCCATAATCTCCATTCTTGGCACAGACAAGTCGGAGATCGCAGTTCAACAATAACAATATCAACCAGCTCAGGGTGCTTACTCAGTACTCTTGAAACCAATCTCAATGTCAGTGCAATTTCAATCCAATTAAATTAAATTTATCCAAATAAAAAAAAAACAATAATTATTCAAAAAAAAACTTTTTGAATAATTATTGTTTTTAAAAAAAACAAAAAGGGTTTTTAAAAAAAATTCTCGGTGATAGCACGGAGTCTGGAATTGTACCCGGTATATGGCAATAGGCTCACCCCCTATTACATGGGATTCATAACGTAAATAGTGAAAAGTGGGTGTTACATTGTACAGTGGCATAATGTGCACCTCTGCCTACCCCTTCGGGGATAAAAGGCGTGATGTTACATTTAATGTAATTATTCAATGTCAACACTATACAACCACAATCGTAGCTGTCAAAATAACATTCAGAGTACGGAATATAAAGCCACACTAAACTCAATACCATTTAGTTCATTAAATATCCACGCAATACGGATGCAATGGGCGCTAGTGTTGCAACTCAAGAGTACGAAATTTCACAATACCAATGTCGATCGATCGGAATTGGATTCAAGAGTAAGCCCACGGGTTTCCTCACGATATTTTCTCTCACAGTTTGTCAGTGGTGTCTGAATAATCTTAGAAAGTACATGTAACTCGGAAAACGTCACATTGGTACTTAGTGTTGGTAGGTTTCGAACTCGCAAATTACGGTACTTAATGTGACTGTACAATGTAACACCCACTTTTCACTATTTATGTTATGAATCCCATGTAATAGGGGGTGAGCCTACTGTCATATACCGGGCACGATTCCAGACTCCGTGCTACCACTGAGAATTTTTTTAAACCCAGTAGAGCGGCAGTCGCATTCGCGAACAATCGGCCAATAAGGTTTTTTTTGAAGTCGGTTAAAAACACAACGAAAATCATAGAAAACCCGACTCCTCCACACCGAAAACAAGAGAGAACTAATAAAATTAGTTAAAACAACTAGCAGCCTGTCCCGGCTTCGCACGGGGTAGACAATTATTTATTTTTGGAAATTTGGATTGTTGTAGTGCCATAACTACAATAGTTGGACATATGCTACCGCGGAGTTTTTTGTAGACATTATGATGTTCTTCAATATTGTTGTACATTATTTTGTTCTATCGCTAATAATTTCGGCAGTGCATTCGACGAAAGACATTTTAAAACTCATTTTTCTACACCTTGGGTTACATTGTTCAAATTTTACCAAGGATCCCAAATTTTTTAAAAATGAAATGTAGCCTATGTCAAATTGGAATAATGTAGCATTCAATTGGTGAAAGGATTTTTTAAATCGGCCCAGTACTTTTTGAGCCTATTCATTACAAACATACAAAAATAGGTACAAATCTTTCGTCTTTATAATATTAGTATAGATAACAAGTCTAATTACTTCCATTGCTCAATGAAGGTGGTGTCTGACGTCTGACTGACTTTTAATTGGCATAGTTTGACTTGCCACCACGATCTAAATCAGTCGGAAGATTACCATTTCAACAATATTTAGACATACGTACCTGACCAGCGTCAAATTCAGCAGATCCAAGTGCACGAGCCCCTTGCCGCTAGCGTCCAACACCTGCATGTACTTGGCTTCATTCTCCTCACCATCTGTCAGGTCGGGCAGTATACTACCCTGGAAGAGGTGGTAGAACGGTTAGTTGTCACGTAATGAGGTGAATACACCGTGAAATATATTTCGTTTCCGTTCCGCGTCGAAACAAGTTGCCATAAGGAGTAATTTCGATGTACAAAGTAAAAACTAAACAAAAACGATGTCATTTTATTTTAGGTATGACTGCCTCGTTGGCCGAGTGGTCGCAAGTGCGACTGCCGGGCAAGGGTTTTTTTTTAAGCAGGGAAAATCATCGAATGACTGCTCCCGCCTGGGTGAGGCGGGAGGGAGTGTCAGACTCTTACTGACTAAAAACCACCCCGTTCCTTCTCCTGCACGTCGAGCTGGAGCACCGGTAACCCGTTAGGTTCTCCGCGACATCGGGTCGAGCAAAGTACTACTGGGTATTTTATATCTCAGTCGCACGGAGTTTGGAATCGTGCCCTGTATATGGCAATAGGCTAATCCCCTATTACATGGGACTCATAACATAAATAATGAAAAGTGGGTGTTACATTGTACAGTGGCATAATGTACACCTCTGCCTATCCCTTCGGGGATGAAAGGCGTGATGTTATGTTATTTTATTTTAGTTTAAAAAAACTTTCATGGAAATACGCACATTTAGAACACTAGATGTAATTTCGTAGGCACTATTCGCATCGCACGTGCCACCCGACGAGAAATACCTCTTCGAGAATTACATGGCGTGATGTTTTGATAATGTACTATGAGTTCGTATGCGCTTTCGAAGTTTGCTGTTAGCAATGGTTCACCAGTTATTGTTTGTTTTAAACATTTTATTTGTTTGTAAAACTATTGTATTACCGAGACAGAACCATGTTACTTCGGGACGAAAACTAAATAGATTTCACGGTGTATAGAGTTTACTTTTGTCATTTCCTTTCTTGCTATTTCAATTGGGTTGTTTCCAGGGTATCAAAATTAAAAATCTAATTAGTCCATCAGTTAGAAAATGAAAAAATATTAGACACGTATTTTTTATTTTCTCGTATTAAGTTGCAATACTTAGATAAAATGGCGCTAAGTTTTGGAGTGGAAGGTCGTTACGTCATAACGTGCTACAAAATGTGGCACGCTGTGACGTCACACGATATTTCAAATTAATATATCGTCGCAAGTATTTAATTTTGTGAGAAAAGAAAAAATACGTGTCTAAAGTTTTAAATTAATGTACCAGACGGACATTAAACTGTCAAACACCAAGCGATCACCGGTGACCGCAACCTATTGTTCTATAATGACGGTACTCGACGAGTTAAAATAAAATTTAGGAAACTACCCTATTAAACAAGGCATTAAGTGTCCATGTTAGTTACTCTTTTAAGAGCCGATTTTTAAATCATCAGTTAATTTATAACTGTAGAATAAAATTGACATTTGACAGTTTTCAGTATGGAAGAATTGGGTATTTTCCTCAATCAAAAATAAACTATTTCGACTGTTCAATACAATAAAATTCTAAAAATATATCACAATTTCATTAATTGATTTTATGACCAACTTAATTTTAATAGCTTTCCAGCAATTTTTTAAGAAATAGGTATGCTGTTTGACGCTAAAGAAAAGTGATGTCACAATACACAATATCGTACAAAATTCATAGAAAACTGTAATTTTTGATAGTTCGAAAAAAGTATTGAATTTTACTTGTCCGCAAGTACCCAATTATTATAAATGTTTATAAGTTATCCCTCAGTTAAAATTTATCTGGCGTTAGAACAATCGGCCCATAATAAGTTTCTCAAAAGAATTCTGGATTTCATTGTTTCGTATAACAAATTAACAATCCCTTTAAACACTACAGTAACTTCAAACCAGTTACACATACAGACAAATAAAAATAAAAGAAATCTAATCATGCAAGGAACACAATAAAATCTCATAGTGGAATGAGAGAAGTCATCAGAGGCCTTGTACGAGTTTAATTTACGTTAAAAGTATTCGAAACGAGTACGCGTTCGGCACTGTGATTGGCCGGCGCCAATGAACCAACCACTCAGAGCTCACTAGAGGACTGACCTACAGACTGACATTTTTATTTAATATTTAAATATTTTGTTTTGACGTTCAAAAGTGCCTTCCCGGTCTAATTGAATTTGAAATAAATGATTTTGACTTTTGAGAGCGCCGAACGCGTATTAAGGCCTCTGAATAGGGAATAATCAGACAAAAGTAATTATACCACATGCACCAAAAACCCAAAAAAAAATAAAAGGGGGTCACATTTAACCTGTAGATTTACCCGGTCTTTCTCGAACGGAGTCACCTCAACTATTTGGAGTTGACCTGGAAACAGAAAATATATCATTGAACATAGAACAAAGGATTGGCCACAGAAAGCTATAAGAAGAGACAAGTGGAAGGAGGGTTTGGCCTTTGCCCTGCAGTGGGATGGTCATGGCTAAAAATAAATTTCAGATTCATATAAAGTGTGGAAGAGCCATGCTTCGGCACGAATAGGCCGGCTCGACCGGAGTGATACCACGGCCTCACAGAAAACCGACGTGAAGCAACGCTTGCGTTGTGTTTCGTCGTGTGAGTGAGGTTACCGGAGGCCCAATTACCCTCTCCTTCCCCAATCTCCCCAATCCCTGAATTCCCAACGATCCTCAAACTCCTAATCCCCAAAACAGCCGGTAACGCACTTGTAACGCCTCTGGTGTTCCAGGTGTCCATGGGCGACACCGATTGCTTACCATCAGGTGATGGTGACGTCTGCTCGTTTACCGGCTTATGCCATAAAACATATATATATATATATATTTAGGCCTTTTTTGTCGACTAGAAAGTTAAGGGATACATATAATACAAAGTAAGATGCACTTATCACCCATGTAATAGGGGGTGAATCCACATAAAATAGGCACAATGTCACTTTCAAACTGTGCTCAAGACCTATGAATTTCCGAAAAACTAAAATACTTAATTATTATTAACTAAATCATTGCCCTGAACTAGGATTTTCTCCTGTCGTGGGTGCCTTTACAAACAAGTTCACATACACACGACACCCAGACCTGACATGCGGTTGCTTCATGCGGGAATTGAAGAAAGAAACAAAGATAATCTTTATTTCACGCCAAAAAACAAGTGACGTGTACAAATAAGTTGTTGTATTAGTAGGTACTGATTGATACATGTTCATGTCTCAAGTCTGCGGTGAAATGGGACCAGTTCAGCATGTGCAAGACAGGGCCTTGGGCTGGAATTGGACCCGTTACACATTGCATGGGACCCTAGCGACCTCACCAACCGTGTAGTCGATATTGATTGATTTCTTTGCAAGATTTGCAATACTGTAAGCACCATTAACATAATTCTTCACCATCATCATCAGTCCGTGTTCGTCCATTGCAGGACATAGGCCTCTAAATTGCCATGCCACTGAGCTTGGTCTTCAGTTCTTCTCATCCAGCCAGTCACCTTGCGGATATTGTCACTCCACCATAGGGTCTCTACTCTAGAATATGTTTACCCCAGCAATCATCGGTTCTTGTGACCGGCCTACTGCCACTTCAACTTACTAATCCTTTGCGCCATGTAGTACATGATACATGTACATAATTATGTTATATCAAGATCTACAACTACTACAAGATCTAAAACCACTACAAAAAGCATACAACTCCTTAGGCATACTTTTTTTTTGTTATGGCGATTAGGCGATGGAACCAGCGTCCTCAGTTCTACCTTTTCAAAGCATGTACCTCCGCTTCAGCCTGTTTGCAGTGAGCGTCGGTTTTGTGAGTTCATTGGCGAGAGTGTTTGGATGCCTCAAGAACCGTTCCGTTTTGCATACATATGCGTAAGGAGTTGAACTATATATTAGTGTTTTAAATAAAGGAAACTGTTTCAGAAGGCATTATAATGAAAATTAACAAAGTGTTATTTATGTATGCTCACCATCTTTGTACTCGGCAGACAGGATTTGTCCATCAGAGGTCTCCACAGTTACCTCCTCATCTGACATCTTGGATTAAATCTGAAAACATTATAAAATAATGAAGTTTTGGGCGACTAACTAAATAAAAGGTAAATACTAGTGGCATTAAGTGCAGTAATCTGTACCTCTGCTCACCCCATTGGGGATAAAAGGTGTGATGTTATGATATATTAGATACCTTGTAAACTGGAAAGGTTTATGCATGTTTTCATCAACCTCTTAAGTTAAACTTAAGAGACGGTTTAGTGGTATTGGCGAAAACCTAGAGCCTAAATCCGTCAAAGATTTAGAAATTCATAAAATTCTGACAGGAGGAGCAGGAGGACAGGAGAACAATCTGTACTTGGTTGGGCCAATTTTAAAGTTGGCACAGAAATTGATTATATTCTCTAATAGCATTAGACCAATTTATTGGCTTACTACTTTGTAAACTTATTATTTTCATTTAATGTAATAATCATAAAAACTCTCAATTGTTAACATGTTAAATGCCATGGGAGTCTATGGTGAATGACTTTAGTGGACGATTTGCCTTTAATAGTTTTCTTTTGGCAGTCCAAGACTTAAAATAGTTATTTTTTATGAGACAAGTCTTTCCACAACCTCCCAAAACCGCTGCAACTCCCGTGCACCAGGATCTACAGTACATGAATGTGTTGTTAACATAGATAGATACATTCCTCCGCAAATAGGTGAAATTAGTTTTTGAAGTGAAAACTTCTTTAGCGGCATTGTACACTTTTTTTTAACTCGTCGAGTACCGGTTTTGTAGACACAATTATAGAACAATAGGTTGCGGTCACCGGTGACCGCTTGGTGTTTGACAGTTTAAATACATAAAACCTCTCTTCTCTACTCATAATGAATTACTAGGATGTGGAATCAACGTTATTAGTAGATAACATGTACTTATTAAATGTATTTCAGAAATTATAATAGGTTTACTATAAAAGTAGTTCCCTATAATTACCACTTTAAGTTTAACCTTGCCTATACATAATATTACCTGTATTTTATAATGAGTACTAGTACCTATCTTAAATAAAATACGTAGGTAGTGGTTACTTGATTATTATGGTCTCAAAGTAATAATAGAAGTCTAAAATAGGTTAGAAAATAGAAAAAAATATATTTACTAACATGTAAATTATACGCATGGTATTATCTAAAATCAAAAAGATCGATACGGATACAGTGAGCGTGAGGTCATATCCAACTTATTCTACATTGCGAATAAATATTTAAGCGTAAATAAACAACTTATATGCAAATCCATACAAATAATAAACAAAATAAATGTCATTCAAGGTTTGTCAAAAATTCTTGCAACACCAAATTCATTGTTGCCGTGTTTCTTTAATGGCGATCGACTTTTTAATTTTATTATTGCAACAATCAATACTCACGTTTAATGGCAACAATATAGATTTCCAACACTCAAAATAGCGACCACAAGATAAATAACACGATTAAATTAACAAAATAACTTCAATTAATGCAAGAAAATGGCGTCGTCAAGGTATAATATAACTTTTTCTTCGTAAATTACGAGTCAAAGACGTTTCGGCGTTTTACTAGAGTTGCCAGTGTAAATTTTGTTTACCCAACTTTTACAATTAAATTACCGAAATATCAAATGGTTATATTATTTTATTTAAATTTATAAATAAACGCAATAATTAGTGACTATAATATATGTAATACAATATTTATATTTCTTTTCTGATTCAAATAATTTTTCAAAATGCAAGTAGTTATAGCAAATAAATATTGATGACGTAACACTACAAAATATACAGTGAATCTAAATATAATAGAGCTATTCTGAAATAAACGTTTAATTTTTGTATAACTATCATGTAACATCAATAATGTTTCCATGATATAGTTTTTCTCTTTCTAATATTCGATGTTTATAATATTGTCTCTATCTTTTATTCGATATGTCGACATGCACTTGTAGAGTCGGAATGTAGAGTTAAAAAAAGGTAAACAGATGAGATCATACAACCAATCCGTAATAGGTAGAGGCTATGTGAAAGAGAATATGCTGTCTTCTTCACTCTTATGCGATTCTCGTAAGAACATTTACAAAATTAGAACTTCGAATAAGAATAATAACTGCAAACTCTACATGAAAATAAAAAATATGACAATATATTGTACTGAATTTTAAGAAATTTTCCTTAAATAAGCATGGACCTAACTTGAGTAGTTTTAAAGGGAAAAAATGGTGAAATTTAAATCCTACATCGCGCTATCGAAGTTTTCACGCGTATTGGAAGGCGAATGTAATTTTAACTCTATGTTATCGGGAGGTCCGTAGCTACTACGTAAACCGGTGCTGGCGAGGAACCGGTCTAATACCTCGTCATCAGATATGTTGAAGCGTAAGCAATCATATAATGGTAAAATATAATGTCAAATATGTCAAGAAAAATGATAAAGAGAGACTAGGTCTCATCCACACGCTAGTAGCTGATTTGACTTCCTTTTTGTTTTGGTTAGACATGGTGTTTGTAGAGACTTTTTCAACATTTTTCAATAATTTTCCGTGATTTGAAAAATTGCGATCAATTGAATAAATTATCTCTTATCGATAAAGACTAAAAAATATTTACTAATGTAGAGATTGAATTATTCTCTCTATATTAGTAAATGTTTTTAGTCCTAATCGTGTGCATAATTAATTCTAATTAAACACGAAAACAAACAATCAATAATTGTGATTGTTTTTAGGATATGAAATGACTCTACCGACCAAATATGAAATATACCGTATTTAAATATAAACATTGCCACCTCTAAAACTAGTACAACTACCTAATTTTAATAATTTATTTAGTTTTGACAAGGCAAAGAACAAACTAATTTATCTTAATAAAACCTTAATTTTTAAGGATGACTAAAAACAAAGTCTCTACCTGGACTTATAGAAAGTTCATTGTGACACGGTAATCGTCGGTCAATGAACTCTCCTGACATTGTCGGTCAACGACTCATACGTTAAGTACCATGACGAAAAAAAAACCAAACAAAAACAAACGATTTTCTTATCAAATCATGTGTTTTTGTTTTGATAGAGTCGTATTACTTGTAAGCCGAGTTGAATCCGCGTTGATGATGTCCTAATTTATAATTTTACAAGGGTAAAAATTCCAAATAGTGCTTTTAGAGTATGTTTCTCAGTTGTCAGTACCCTTTCAGTTCCTTGTTGAAAAATAACGTCCTTGTAAAAAATAGAGTTTCCGAAACATTAGACAAACAAATATTTGATATACTTAATGAATACCAAAGAATACCAAAAATAAATTAATAAATAAAACAAAATTTGAAACACAAAAAGGAAGTCAAAGACGCTACTTCGGTGTATGTGAGAAGGACTCTCGTTTTTCATTGAAACAGAATGATTGAACATTATTCTTTAAACATTTTATATTAAACCCATACATGACGACTATTCAGACGACATATTCAGATGGCGGAGGCTTAGACCGGCCCTCCGCCACGACCGGTTACCCGAGTAGCAATGGACCTCCCGACAGTACTGCAGGGCGTTTTATATTTAAGCAAACTCCAACGAAAACTTCAATAGCGTGATGCAGGCCGAGGCTCCTGATTGGTTGGTCGGTATGACGTAGTTTCGTTGAGGATCGAATATTAAGAGTCCGGGAGAGAAAATTAGGTAACCCCAGTTTTTGTGGGAGGATAAAAATTTAATTCTTATTAGACTGAACCAGATATCCCATATCAATTCCAATTTAAAAATGTAAGTTGTGTATTCTAATTAAGAAAGTGCAGTTAGTTTCGATATAAATACCCACGTTTTCTATGCCGAGATGATATTTCAATTAGATACTAAAATTCTAATGAGTATTTCTATTGTCTCTATTAAGTATGTAGTTATATATTTTACCTAAAATTAAGTTGAAAATAGCCACCAGCTGCACATTCATAACAACAAGGGGGCTTCCTAAAGAGGTCAATGACATTTACAGGTATAAAAACGTTCACTCGTCGATGCAAGTCATTGTTCATTAGAAAATTTGGAGTCCTTTTTTTAAATTTTCACGTAGGTAAATTAAATGCTTCCTGAGGTTAAAGTTTCCTTAATTTGTCGCTGCATTTTCATAACACATAATTTTTACACAATTATCGCGTAGTTTAATGCCATTCTAGCTTCATTTACACCTATCATATGCAATCAATCCTTTTCAGATTTATCTCGATTTACCAAAATGCACTCTAAAAAACTGCTAATATCCTTATACCAGAAATATCCATTAAGCAGCTCAGAAAAATCCCTTTTCTAATAAAACAATTTGATTCCAATTCGCTATTAAGGGCCAAAATTAATAACAAATCTTAATCCAAATTCTCTGGATCTATTGTAGTTTTTTTGATAGGAACCTAAAGATTAAATTTCAGTGGTGAACCAGAATCCAGAATTTCTAACGTACTGCAGTTTCTTACTGAGACGCATGACGTAGAGCCGGCTGGAATTGATCGCTACCACGTCACAGCTCCGCGTAGTTGCAATGAAACACTACCTACACCTACACTCGATCAATACAAAGCTACGTTTTGAACGCTCTATCGGTGATACATATTTGACGCATGAATTCCTATCATGATTGGTAAATCCCTTTTGTTTAGGAAGTCCCGGTTTGAAATTGGATTTCCGATTGTTTTATTGTGGTGTAAGGTGATACAATGCTAAATTTGACAATTCTTAATGAAAACAAAGTTTTAAAAATAGGAGGGTAGTTGTGTTTAGTAGGTACCTCCCCACTTATTTTTTAGTTCTTGTTTATTTATTAGTCCCGTTCTATCAAAGGGCAAGACAATGTCTAAATACCAATCATATTTATGATTGTTATTTTTTAAAAGCACACATATGCAAGCAAGCATAAAAAGCATGGACTCCAGAATGCTTTTTATATAATATATAGCCTACCATACCCATAAGTCGTAGCCAGTAACTCGTGTTTAAAAACTATATATCTAGAATCATTACACTCATTTATCAATAGCATATGCACTTCCGCTCTACCTTACATTGTACTCATAACAAATAGTATAAATAGCTTGGCAAGATAATCAGTAGTACATAAATTATGGCTTTGTAGACTGAATGAAACAATGTAGGTACTATCTACACGTGTTTAATGAATCATTCAACTGTGGAGACTTTCTTCAAGATATTGTAATATTACGTAATATTGCAAATATTGAACCCTTTTAACCTCATGTCAATTAATGTACTGAGTGTACCAATCACAGGTTCCTTTATAGCTTCATAATAGAAACGGCTTCCAAAGTTCTCCCATATTCCAGCAGTAGACTGTCGCTTGATAATGATGTTCTTTCCTAACTTTAGAGACCTAGGTCCATAGTCCCTATGGACTATAGACAGACACTATTGTCTGCACCAAAGAGCTTTACATGAGAAAACTTGCCAAAATATGCACGCTTGGTGGAAGAAAATATAAGTTGTCTAAAATAGGAAATTAATGTTACAACGTGAAACAACATTTAGTCCGACGTATCTGATAGACAAGTATTACACTTTCAAGTAATTATATTAGCAATATTTAATGCAAAAAGTGCACATAGCAACTCAAATGATTGTTTTGTATGAACCGCATTAGTGCATCTTCCGGCAAGTAGAGTCACGCCACGCATGCGTGCTTTGTCGATGCGCTCTATTTATTTATTAAAGTCAGAACTACTTCATTTCACACTAAAAAAGAATTTAACCGACTAATCTACTTGGGAACTCCTTGGGGTTAGAACTCCATTTCATTAGAGGACTCGTTGTGGTGGATAATATGATGATGGTGGCTAATAGTGTACCCATGTGGACTATAATGGAGCAGAATTCTCATTGATTACAAGGTCACACATTTAGGTAGCTAACTAAAGCCTGGTGTACTGTGTACTGTCGGGCTAAGATCGAGGATTTGCCTGGGGCAATCGCGAGAGTGAACGCTGACTTAGCTGCTATATATAATTGGTCTGAGAGGTTTGGAATAGCTGTGAACCCGAATAAATGTCAGGCGATTATGGTGGGAAGTTCTCGTACCTTGTGTAAGGTTGACAGTGCAACTATGCCGCCTGTACTGTTCAACGGTGCGATCATACCTTTCAGCGGCGACGTGAAGAATCTTGGCTTGTATGTTGACAGTAACTTAAACTGGCGTGCTCATGTCACTAGCATATGCCAACGGGTCACCGGGACGCTGCGGGCCCTGTATCGTTTGAGAAACTTTCTTCCGTCCTCTGCTAAGATAATGCTTGTCCAGTCCTTGGTTTTCCCCATTATTGATTATGCTGATGTGTGTTTTTTCGACCTGAATGCAGATCTACTTAACAAACTTGACCGCCTTTTGAATACCTGCATTCGATTCGTCTTCAACCTGCGTAAGTACGACCATGTCTCTGCATTTCGATTGCAACTAAAGTGGTTGCCCATACGTCAGCGCAGGGAACAACGGGCGCTAACCACTTTATTCTCCCTTCTTAATTCTCCCAATTCTCCTACTTATCTTTCCTCATATTTCCAGTATGTGAGCGCTAACCATAGCAAATACCTCCGTTCTTCTAATAATCTTCTGTTACAATGTCCCACACATCGAACTGACTTCCTTCACTCTTCTTTTTTCGTCCAATCCATCTTGCTGTGGAATGCGATGCCGACGGATATCAGGACGGCGACCAGTCGTCTGTCCTTCAAATTTAAGGTTCGTGAGTATCTACAGAAGAGGCTAGCAGACTCAACACACACTTAGGTCTTGTACGTATTTACATATATGTATGTGTATAATTATGTATGTATATATGTTATGTTATGTATTTTCCTTCGTATATTTAGGTATATATATGTCCCATACTTATTTGTCTACTGTTCGTTTTGCATTACGTATATATTTTAATACTTCTTCATTATATTTAATTAGTATATATTGTGTGATATGTATAATTATATATGATGTTAATGTTAATGTTAATTATTGTGTCACTCTAATAAGTGTTAAACGTTTACACCTACTATTGTATCTCTCTGCACCACCCTAAGGTTGACTGTTAGAAAATGCCACTAGGCATTAAGTCCGCCGTTGTATATCTACAAAAAGTGTAAATAAATAAAGCCACAGAAGAATTTCGAATACAGAAAATGCCCAATGATACTTTGCCCTACCCAATAATTGAATCATTTATTCTTTCTTCAGTAATAGCGCTCATACCCACTAAATCAACGACCCAGTCATAACATCATACGACTGTATTATTATCATCAAGTTCTTTCAACTCTACCTCACAACACAATACACGACTATATTCGCAGTAAGTAACTGAATAAAGTAAGTATGCAACTGGACCTTAACGTTCTTCATTCATAAAACCGGATTGCCACCCCCCTTCTACTGGATAACACAGTGTAGTCTGCGGTAGAGACATTGGTACAGATTTCACTTTTATTTTAGCGTTCTTTTAATCTTAGTTAAATGTCAATTAAGGATATAGAAAGCAGATTACTAAAACTTTCTACACATATTTCAAAACCAGAATCAGGCGTCAGAACTCTATATTGTATTATTTGCTGACAAAAAATTAATATAAGTCTTTGTATGAAACCACAACCTTGCTGTAAACAGTTCCTATAAATCAAAATAATTGGTATGTCCAATAAAGGTAAAAATTTTGCTAAAATCTCTGAATTTTAAACTACTCTACCCTCCTGAATCGCGGTATTGAAGTTTTCGCAGCACTTGGTACATGAACGACGGTTTCGCGTGTTACAACAGGGAGTCCGGTGCCACAAGGTAAAGTGGTCCTGTGCATCCACTTCAATCAAGTGCACGGCACAATAATATTCAGACAGACACGATCTCAGTCGCTAAAATAATAACTTCAAGATTTGCCATTCTGTCGACTAGAAGAAATTGCTAGACTGTATTTGGAATACCCGCGACTCAGTAGAATGACGAATGCTTGAACTTGACAATGAATGCTTACAGCACCTATGTGGTTAATATGACTCCTTTTTGGAACTTTCTGATTGCTTTTATATATTTTCTAATGTTTTTACCAACGTACAATTTAATTCTGGCTAAGTGGTAATAAATAGTCGGTTAATATTTGTTAATATAATTCAACATTATAATTCAACAATAGAATTCAACATTTACTTTAAACTCTCATGTAATTTAATTTACAAAAATATTAAAAAAAATATGCTTCGAAAAGGTTGTCGACGCATAATTTATGATCTTCTGGTAAATGAAATACTACAGAGTAGTACGCTTTTCTAACGACATCTGTTGTAGCATCCAAGAATAAAATTATTCACCAAGAGAACGACGGTGGTCCCTCAATTCAAACAAGTGTAGGTAAGTAAGTACGCAACTACCTCGTTGTTTTTTATGTAAGAACAAGGAGGGCGCTCCTTATCGAAGAAAGTTTTTAATCCAATGTGTAATAATTTGTAGAACTCGTTACTTGTTATCTCTGAATTATTATTTTAACAATAAATAAATTTATGAAAATTTCGATTCTTCAATGAAAAAATCTCCCCAAAATCAGATTTTCCCTATGCTAATGACAACCCTAAAATAAGGGATGTACTGCGCAAGTCAGATGTCTGTCAAATCGGTTTTGTCAAATATCAGCAACGCGACAACAAATCTTTGAAAATGATTAAATATTAATTGAAGGCGTGTGTTTTAATATTATTTTATTAAAACAAAATATTGCACCATTACTTTCAAACATATTAATATTAAAAGTATTTGTTTTGAGGTAAGTTCCTCGTCCTATTACATTTTTAATCAATTTTATTACTTTAATTTTCTTGGCATAGTTTTTAGATTATATAATTTAGAAAACAAGTGGAAAATAGTGCTTTATTTATTAAATACAATGGAATATAACTCCAAGACTTCTTTACATGGAAAGTATATTTTAATTGTACCTATTTTCTCTTTTGAATGACCTTGACTGCAGATGGTAGGAAACATAAATAATTCTAATTTATTAATTCATTCTTCGTTTATGGCATTAAACACTTGAATAAATAACTTGTAAAATGTTTAATAATTTAAATATGAATTACCACTGTTACTCAGCACTTTTAATTCCAAAGATAATAATATAAATTGTTAAAAGTACTTTTCTATTACAGGAATAAATAAAAATGGCAACGAGTGGCTCCGGTGCGGTATTCTTTTTAGGCACGCGAGCGCATTATCAGGTAAAATAAAGATTATACGACAAACAAAATATTGTATCTATGTTTGATATAAATAAGACTGCAATGTATGCATCTGCAGCAGGTATTAATAATACAGATATTGTATGTAGCTGTAGTAAGCAGAGTAAGAACATAATATCGTCATAACCTCGCGCTTTTTACCCCCGAAGGGGTAGGCAGAGGTGCAAATTACGGCATTTTAAATGCCACTGTACAATGTAACACCCACTTTTCACTATTTATGTTATGAGTCCCATGTAATAGGGGGTGAGCCTATTGCCATATCACGCATAATTCCGGACTCCGTGCTACTATTGGGATTTTTTTAAAACCCAGTAATACTTTGTCCGACCCTGGAATCGAACCCGAGACCCCTTGCCCGGCAGTCGCCCTTGGGTCCACTCGGCCAACGCGACTGTCGAACATAATATCACGTCTTTAAAATCTCGAGGCCGGCAGGCAGAAGACAGAGGTGCATACATAGACATACTACACAGTGCACAGTAAACCAACGAGGCAGCTATGTACCTAGTTGCTAAAAAAATCGCATTAATAAGGTAGATGCTTAATTTTTATTTTAATGTCCGCCTTGTAGATTATTTTAAATCATTAGACACGTATTTTTTATTTTCTTACAGAAACGAATAGTACTTTCGACGATATATTGATTTGAAATTTCGCGTGACGTCACTTCTATGTACATTTTATACGTAGAAATGACGTTTTATCCCTCACTCCTGAACTTTGATTCGTTTTATCTAAGTATTGTTTTCATAGATTGTTTTATTATGCGACAAAATAAAAAAATACGTGTGTAATATTTTTTCATTTAAGTACCTATACTTTTAATTTTCATGCCCTGTCATCATCCCTGTTCTCTGCATGATCTCCTCCTCACGAAGTTAACAATCGCTTGTCCTACGACATACTTATTTAACTATCTATGTATAGATATACAGATAAAATAAAATTGGAGTGTCCGTTTGTAATATTAAAATAACCGCTTTTTACTACATACATATGAATATACATACGATACAAATAACAAAATAACATATTTATTACAATTTATGTTTGTCTGTCTGCCTGTTTGTACTGGCAAATCTCTGTAATGGCTGGACCGATTTTAAAGGGAATTTTATTGGCAGATAGCTGATGTACCAAGGAGTAACATAGGCTACTTTTATTTTGGAAAACTGAAACAATAAAAAGTTACATCCTAAAATTCATATTCTACGCGGATAAAGTCGCGGGCAACACCTAGTGTAGTAAAGTACTGAAAGTAATCGAAAAATTCCAACAATACCTTGCCTCTGTACATAAAATCGAATAGTTTGTTTGTTTGAAATCGCTAATGTCAGGAACTAGTTCGAAATGAAAAAATATTTTTGTGTTGGATAGTCCACCGAGTTAGGCTATGGGGCTATAGAATATCACGCTGCAATCAATAATTTAAGTGTGGGAGAGCCATGCTTCGACACGAATGGGCCGGCTCGACCGGAGTGATACCACGGCCGAGCAAAAAACTGACGTAAAGCAACGCTTGCGTCGTGTTTCGTCGTGTGTGTGAGGTTACCGGAGGCCCAGCTGCCCTCCCCCTTCCCCAATCTCCCCAATCTCCCCAATCTCCCCAATCCCCGAATCCCTAACAATCCTCAAACTCCCAAATCCCCAAAAAGCCGGTAACGCATTTGTAACGCCTCTGGTGTTCCTGGTGTCCATGGGCGACGCCGATTGCTTACCATCAGGTGATCCGTCTGTTCGTTTATCAGCTTATGCCATAAAAAAAAAGAACTGACCATCGAGTGAAACGTCGGGGAGGAGCTTGTGAATAAATAAATATTACTTTCTATGTCTTCCAGGTGCTAAACCAGCCCGAGTCGCAATACGACGCGGAAAACGGCAACACTTCGACGGAGACGATATACCAGAACCCATCAGTCCAGGAGTTGTGGCCGGAGCAGAAGCGGGACGATAATGAACGCTGGGGGTATTGCGAGCAGGAAGTCAGTTGTGAGTACCTAATCCACAATAGGTCCTAATTAATAATTATAGTGTTATTGAAGTCAAAGTCAAAGCATTTATTTCAATTAAACCATAGTTTGGTCCTTTTGAAACGTCAACAAATACAAAATAAATAATAGTCTGTCAGTCAGTCCGTCAGTGAAGCTAGGTGAAGCTAGGTGCTCATTACAAAACGTAGATTCGAATGGAGAAGAACGAGCAAGAAACTCCATTCGTTACTCTTTTAAAAAAGTATGTATGTATTGAATTTTGATATGGGTCTTCGTTGCCTGATACAAATACAAATAAATTAATAAATGTCAACTTTCGCAGACTTCTCTGTCAAAAAAGTCAAAAGTCGAAATCATTTATTTAAATTAGACCAGTAAGGCACCTTAGAACACGAACAACGCCTTTTATCCCCGAAGGGATAAGCTGAGGTGCACAATACGGTACCACATTACGGTACGGTGCCACTGTACAATGTAACACTCACTTTTCACTCTTCATGTTACGAGTCCCATGTGATATGGGGTGAGCCTATTGCTATATGATTATATTAAGTTTTTTTTTAAGAAACCTAGTAATACGACCCGGGTATCGAACCCGAGACCCCTTGCCCGGTAGTCGCACTTGCGACCACTCGACCAACGAGGCAGACAAAAAATTTATAAGTGAAGATATTTCCTCATTCCAACGTGTACATTCTTATGGGGAAGAACGAGCAAGAAAGTCCATAGGTTACTCTTTTTCAATAAGGTTCACAATACAATTACTTACATACCTAGTTTTGTTGGTTAGTTGTTTGAGAACAATGTAACACTTAAATCTAGTCAAAGAGATCGAAAAAGAAAATAACTCCAAGGACAATAAAATAATACAGTCTGGAGCTGACCAGTCCCAGTTGACGGCGCCCGTTCACGAACATGACACGTACACCAGCACCAACTTCATATTGTAGGGAATCGAGCGATCCCCTCCCTGTGAAGGTTGTTAGGACGAAACCAGGTTGTTAGTGAGACTTATGATTTCTGATTATAAGTTTGAAATCGCCAACCCGCATTGAGCAAGCATTGTGTCTCATCAGTCAATGAAAGTCTGAGCACTGCTATAAAATATATTGTTCCACACACACTAGGTCATACAGACATACAATTAACATAACATCACGCCTTTTATCCCCGAAGGGGTAGGCAGAGGTGCACATTATGCCACTATACATTGTAACACCCACTTTTCACTATTTATGTTATGAGTCCCATGTAATATCCCCGAATAATTTTTATGAAGGGTTAGGCAGAAATACACATCACGGCACTTAATGCAACTGTACAATGTAACACCCATTTTTCACTATTTATGTTATGAGTAATGGGGGTGAGGCTATTGCCATATACCGGGCACAATTCCAGACTCCGTGCTACTACTGAGATTTTTCTTAAAATCCAGTAATACTTTGCCCGACCCGGGAATCGAACCCGAGACCCCTTCGATCGAACGAGGCAGTCTGCAACTGACAAGCGGATAACTAGGGGACGTGTTAACTCTAACATATAATTTCATCGACTGGACACAGTTACTTGGGTAAAAGGAATAATGTAAACAGACACCTCACACATACAATCGTATACGTAGTTATGCGTAGCCAACCCTTACCTCGCTTAGTAACAGTCAACTAACATCACACCATGCCACCCAGCAGTTCCAGGTAGCCTCTAGACTCGAGTGTCTAATGGCCAATTCTCATAAAATTAATGTTTGTCAAAACAGTTAAAGAAATTAGATCGACAGATCCCTGTTGCTGGCCAACTGCGAGGTCCAGCCACAGACACACACATGTAAAGCTTTTCAGTAGTATATAAGTCCATATAATCTTAGTTTAGATGTTCTATTGTTCATTACCATTTTAAAGCTCATGCTGAGCACACGTGTAATTAATTAATAAATATTTTTTAATACAAATCTTGCGCGTTCATATTTGACTACGTATTATATAAACAATTGCTTACTAGTGTGTCCCTACATGAGCTCAAACCTTCTCCGTGTGAGAAGAGGTCTTTGGTCAGCAGTGACTACTTATAGGCTGTTGATGATGATCATGATGATGTTTGTGTGGTGCAGCATGCTTGATGGCAAATAATAATTATTTTTTTTCTTTATGTCTAACGCAAGACCTGTATAAGACAATCTTACACCTAAAAAATTCGCAGCCGCAGAGAACCTAACGGGTAACCGTGGCTCCGGCTCGACGTGCAGGAGAAGGAACGGGGTGATTTTTAGTCAGTAAGAGTCTGACATTCCCTCCCGCCTCACCCAGGCGGGGGCAGTCATTCGATGATTTTCCCCCCTTAAAAAAAATACCTGAAATATATTTGTTTCCATATACCTAACGATATCCATCTCTTTCTCTCCTACCAGTATCAGATGAGAGGGAGAAATCGGACAGTTTGCTGCGCTCGCGACGCAGACAAAGTACGGCAGCACTGTGCGAGGGAGATGACATGAAGCCTGCACTACTGAACTCTGTGGGGAACAGGTGAATTTGTGCTTTATTTTATAGGATGTAGTGTTCAATGTTGATTAGGTGTTCGATGGTTATAGTGTCTTGATTTTTGTTTTGTGGGGTAAGCTGAACACTTTTTAACAGCTATGTGATGAGGCCCATGATGTAATGAAAGGTAAGCCTGTTGCTATAGGTACCGCGCACAATTCTAGACTTCATCCTATCTGTGTGTATGTTTCTAAAAACCATTAAAAACTCTAATAAAAGTTTGCCCGACTTGGGAATCGAACCCAAGACCCCTTGATATCGGTCGCAGTTGCGATTACGATGGCTCGATGGTTAAGTCCATCGAGGTATATGGCATTATAACAGAATGATTGAAAAACATAATTTCATACTACCTACCTATTATTTTCTACAACGGACTCAATATAACAGCTCTATCCAAAGATCGGCTGTGAGAAATCGTCTTCCTTGTCTTTCTTTGTTTGTTTACAGCCAAGGTATAATAAAAACATAAAAAAACCTACAATAAATTAATATGTACTATATGTATGGTTTTACCCTTAGGGTAACTGATGATACGACTGCACGGTTGGCGCGGTGGCTGGGCAACTGGCTGCCGTGCAACGTGTCGCGGGTTCGATTCCCGCACGGAACAACTCTTTGTGTGATCCACAAATTGTTGTTCCGAGTCTGGGTGTCATGTGTATGTGAACTTGTATGTTTGTAAACGCACCCACGACACAGGAAAAAATCCTAGGGTGGGGTAACGTGTTTTTTTTTTAAATCTACTAGTTTCGAACCACAGAGGGGTTATTCCTCATGAGCAGCGCGCGCGGTCGCGTCGACGTCGCCGTAGAACCCCTCTGTGGTTCGAAACTAGTAGAGCTTTTCTCAGTATATTCACGTGAGTAGCCTGCGAAGTTTTTTATTAATTTAGTATGTCTCACGATAGGTATTATAAAAAGATAATAAAATCGTTTCTACGCTCAACAGTGGCCCAACGAAATGTCCAAAAGGCCGTGGTACTCTCCTGACCCTGCTGTGGTCGCTGGCTCGACGCAAGCGACGCGGTATGACCAACGACGAGCTCTACCTACGACATATTGACAGCGCACTTACTAACAACTGCACCTATAGGGAAAGCTGTCGGTGCTTGGAGTGCCAGGTAAGGACATTTTTTGATGGAATGCAGATTACCTATGCAGTACATCATTTTCAGCAGTGTTTTGTGACTGCCTCGTTGGCCGAGTGGTCGCAAGTGCGACTACTGGGCAAGGGGTCTCGGGTTCGATTCCCGGGTCGGGCAAAGTATTACTGAGTTTTAAAAAAAATCTCAGTAGTAGCATGGAGTCCAGAGAAATTGTGCCCGGTATATAGCAATAGGCATATGACATGGGACTCATAACATAAATAGTGAAAAGTGGGTGTTACTTCTGTGTGCATTGTTCTCACATATACGTACAGTATTGGAATATGTATCAGAGACATTGTAAGTAGAACATACTTTAAATAACGAATGGAGTTTCTTGCTCGTTCTTCTCCATTCAAATCTACATTTTGGAATGAGCACTTAGCTTCACCTAACTTCACTGACGGACTGACGGACTGACTGACAGACTATGATTTATTTCATATTTGTTGACGTTTCAAAATAAATACTTTGTGTTTGTTGTGTGTGTTAATTGAAATAAATACTTTGACTTTGAATGGCGCAGTGATCTTCAGTTTTGTTCTCGAAAAACTTAATTCTGCATCAAACAAAATTTATTATTTCAGGATTTTGGTGTTTACCACGTTAAAACTACTTTATGATCCAGTTTGTACCTAATCATTATTATTTACATTACAGCAGACTTCAATAACATCATTATATTATCATTACTATAACCAATCATACAAGAATATTATTTTTTTTATGGTATAGTAAGCCGGTAAACGAGCAGACGGATCACTTGATGGTAAGCAATCGGCGTCGCCCATGGACACCCGAAACACCAGGAGCGTTACACAAGTGCGTTACCGGCCTTTTGGGAATTAGGAATCCGAGGTTTGTGGGGGATCCGGGGATTGGGGAGACTGGGGAAGAGGGTTATTGGGCCTCCGGTAACCTCACTCACACGACGAAACACAACGCGAGCGTTGTTTCACGTCAGCTTTCTGCTCGGCCGTGGTATCACTCCGGTCGAGCTGGCTCATTCGTGCCGAAGCATGGCTCTCCCCCCACACTTAAATTATATTATGAATATTAATTAATTATTACGTATGAATTCGCACCTAAAATTAAATCAAATTAATTAATTGCTGTCATTGGTGTAACCGTTGTAATTAATAAAAAATAAATAAAATAATTTATTCAAAAAATATAAACAGAAATTTCGTATGTCTTAATTCTATATGCTGCTATGTTATTCCATGTGCCTGAACTAGGTTTGAAACCTGTACCTCAGGCAATAAAAACCGCTTAGAATAGAGAACTTAAGGTCTAATTAACAATAATTATATAATCATTCTTATATTAAATTATTTGATTACTAAAATTTTACCTATATATAGAAATGTATACCTAATCACTTAATAAATTAACTTGTTTCTAATTTTATTTACATACAGTCAGCAAAAATTCGCCTGGTCATAAGTCAGTTGTTGCAAATATGTGCTGACACGTTTTTTGCATTGATAGCAATTCAAGTTGTAAATACAAAGTTGCTTATTTAGCCTATTATATAA